GCAATAAATAAATGAAATATGGTGTGTGTAAATATGCAAATGTGAATGCTTATAGTAGAAATGTGAATTGGATAGCATTATTTCATACGCATACCTAAAATAGAAATCCGAATAAGTTATCCTGTCTGAGGTTTGAAACATCTTTATCTATTGAGATTAATGATCGTGTTTAGAAATATCTGTATTGCTGTATCGGTCGGAGTAGCTTGATTTTGTGTGTAAAAATTGCTAGAATGATTAGGTTAAATGACATAAATCTCTATCGTGATTGTGCGATTGAACATACTTATGTTAAAAGTACATTGTATATGCTTAGGAGGAGATAGTGGATGTACTCCACTGTTTGGGAGAGATAGACTGATCGACTCCATTGAAATTAAGTTGACCGGAGGTGTCCAGGGTGAAAGTCCGAAATCTTGTATATAAATAGGTGCCGATTTCCACGGATGAAATTTCCGTAAAATGAGCACGCTTGAAGTGTTTGTGTGGAATTATGTTAGTTAAAGAATACCATGAGTTGTTAGACTCAGTTAGGTTATTGAAAGAAATGAAATAGCCTCATGAATTGAGAAGAATGATTAATTGAAATGAATAAGGAAAAACGAAATTAAGGAGTTATGAAAATGTGTACAACACAACGATATGAACGGAATTGATACAACACTGTATAATTTGATTTGGAGAAAGAGAGAAGAAGATGGTTGTATGTTGAGCAGGGTCAGTGCATCATGTTTACCTGTCTAAATTTCAGTATATTTGATAAATTGTTCTACTGGGCTTTAGCTCACCCTACTTGGAGAACCATTTTCAGGTGTTAGTGACCAGCTCCGCCAAGGCAATAGTTTGAAGGACTTTTGGAGCAGAGCCTTCTTTATTTTTGTTGTATATTTTTGATAGCAAGGGCTTTAAACCTATAATGAGGCTAGCTCACTTTTCGATGTTAACGCAAACAATGCTATGAAAAGACCTGTAAGCCATGTTGGGCACTTATCTTGTTGTATCATTAACTGTTCACATGCTATATGATATCAAGATGAGTCATTTATGAATGTATTAAATGCAATGTGATATCTTTCTAGATAAACTCTGTTGAATGGCAAAGCTTACAATTCTATTATTCATTTCTCTTATGGAGTTTTGCTTGTAGTTTTATTTTGGGAGGCATTACAATGAAGTATGGAACTATGTCGACAAACATGCCATACCCATAGCGGTTAGAGATTAGCAATATTATGAAAAAAATTTCACTTCTAATGTTAATTACAATTACTATTAGTTAATCAGATCTATATTGAAATTAATTAAGAGTAATAAATTACTTATAAATTGTGTCGCCAAAAGATTAATTGTTAGGCTACTAAATTTTAGTCACCTAAGATATAATAATTTTAGTTTTGGCTAACTAAATATTTAGTCACCAAAAGATTTTTTTTTTTTTTTGGACGGGGGGCGCAGGCTACTAAATCATTAGTGCACCTAAAGTCTTATTTTTGCGGCTACTAAATTTTAGTATCCAGCTAAAGATTATTTGTCATTTAAATTCTTTTTTACTAGACTATTTATCTATTAGTCGCGCAAAAATTATTTTCATTTAATTCTTGTTTTTAGCTTACTACTATTAGTCGCTAAAAATATTTACTCAATTTTTTGGTTACAATTGATTTAGTCAACCAAAAACATCATTTCTGTTTTTTAAAATTAATTGTCCACACCCATAACCTGTTGTATTCCATGCAATTGTATGAGGTATACAAACAAAGCAATACATATATTATTACGCCATTCCAACAATCTACATCCATTTCATTTTGAACTATCTAAAAATGAATAGACTTATAATGTCAAATTCCATACAAATCAAGTTATTTCATTTAAAATAATAATTCCGTACAAAACAAATAATCATACGAAAATCATATCCTCCGTACACAAAAATATATTACTACTATGCCAATGACCATTTGCATGGTCACAGAATTACATGGGTAATCTGTACCACGACAAAAAAGTAATCTATATGTCAACGGCAATAATTGATCTGTTCCATGCCAAAAGTCTATTATGTACCCGCGCCAAAAGTATTTGTACAAGTAATACAAATCACACAAAAGCAAAGGGCAACAAAAAGTGGGATTATAGCGAATGTGAATTGTCCTCCGTACACAAATGGAATATCCACAAGTCCATGCGCAAAGCATCTACAAAAAAAAAAAAAAAAAAAAAAAAAAAAAAAAAAATGCACCCATTAGTTCCATATAACATTTGAGGATAATGTAACATTGTCTACGGAGAATCTGCGCTGCATTCATAGAAGAATAACATAACTCGTATATATGTTTATAGAGATCCATACATGTAAGAATTCATTCATTCATGGGCCATTGGGTTGCAAGCAAGAAAAACTGAAAAATGTTGGTGAAATTTATATAATAACTGAAATTCACTTTCTTTATTTTTATCTCGATAACCAAACAGAGCACCTAGGGTTGCATCTTTTGAGCTTTTCTGTTTCATCATTTTTTAATCAATTTGCCAATCTTTCAAGTTCAATCAATGTGGTAGATGTTTGCATATTGATTGATTGACTCCAATAACATTGCCCCCCAACACATAAGCTTAATTGTAACAATAGTGTTTAGGGTCTTCTTTCAAGAACTTCATAATTATTTCATTTCATTCACGGATATATATATATATATATTTGTATATATTTATAGAGACATACATGGTTGATTCATGGGTAGTCTTTATTAGTTTGCAAGCAAGAAAAACTGAAATTGGTTAGATTTAGAAAAGATTATAGAACAACTTAATTTCTCTTCCTTTCTAATCTGAATAACCAAACAGAGCACCTAGGGTTGTCATCATTGTGAATTTTTGTTTCATCATTTTTCTACCCATTTGGATAATACAACCTACCACATGGCACAATATATATACATATATATATATATATAATATGGCACAAGGGTTTTTGAAAATGTCATAAAATGTCTAAGAGATACATTTTGTATCAATGGGTCAGATTGTCCCATCTAAACTTCAACGGTTGAGATTTCTTCATTTCCCACCCACTCTTTGTAAATCGAAGAAAATCTCTCTCTCTCTCTCTCTCTCTCTCTCTCCATCAGAGCCCATCCTGTGTGGGATACTCAACCATAATCCCTATTCGTTTCTTCTTCCTCTCTCGCTCTGATTCAGTCAATGCTCTTTCATTCTCTCTCTCCAATTCGTTTCTTCTTTCTCTTTTCCTTCCTCCCCCTTTCTACCTTCTCAATCTTCATCAACAGTGGCAAGCCAAACTCCATATTCCACCACAATCGACACAATCTTTTCAGCCCATAGGAGAGATTTCGAAAGGAGCCATTGCAAAAGGGAAGATTTCGTTGGACCACCACCGTCTTTAGAGAGATCGATACTCCGTCGTTGTCAATATTCAAAGAGATCCCAAACAGGTATTTTAATTAGGTAAGTTCTTAGTTTTTTCCCCCACTGAATCAGATCAATCTCTCATAGCGTATTTGAATGTCAGCTTGTGTATTTTGATTGTTTGGTATACATATTGATAGATATGTATTGTGGGGATTGTGTATTTAGGATTTTTTTTTTTTTTGTTTACATATGTGTATTTATGGAAAAGTTTTGGGAGTTTTAGAAATTGAAGGTAGTGGAATAATTAGAAAAGCTGGAAATATGAATTAAAATTGGGGTTTTTTTTTTGTTTGTGCTTGAATCTAGAACTTCCAACCTTTGCAATTCATGATATTTTTGTGGGTTTGGTTGTTTCTGATTACCTTTGGAATTCATGATACTTTTATGAGTTTGTAAAGTTGAATCTGAATATTTTTTAATCTGGTTATTTTTGTCAAATCTGGATTTTGGAAAATTTTTCATTTTGTTGAATCTTAGATCATTTATTTTTGTGAATTGTGCATTGGTGTTTAAACCATAAACCTTTTTGACGTCTGTGGGTGTTTGGTTAGGTTGGTCGTTGTGTGGATTTCTATTTATAGTTTAGCTTCTGACATGGGTTTGATTTTGAAATGAGAAATGAGTTTTAATTTTTGAAATAAGTTTTGTTTCATGAAATGGGTTTCATTTTTTAAATGGATTTTGATTTCAGAAATGAATTTTTTATTTTCAGTTTGATTTCTGACATGGTTTTGATTTATGAAATAGGTTTGATTCTTTAATGGGAAATGGGTGTTGATTTTTGAAATGGGTGTTGATTTCCTATGGTTTTGAAAAGCTTTTGATTTATGAAATGGGTTTTAATTTATGATATTAGTTTTAAATGTTTGTTGTATGGGTGTATCAACTTTGACCTGTTGAATTTTTTGTGGTCTAGAATTGACTACATAACATGTGTTTTTTTATTCTTTGTTTAATTTGCTTTTCAAGTTGTGGCACCGGTTGTCAAATTGGTTGTGCATTTGATGATGGCTAGAGTCACTTAGATTTATTTCTTATGAGTAAAGGTTTTATAGCGACCCCGGTCTTTTCTCTTTAGATTATTGTATCCGGACTTAGGTTCCGTGGATCCTGTCATTACTTATTGGTTGTTGTTGTCCTTTAATCTCTTAGTATTTGAATTATAGGTTGTGTTGGACGGGTCTGTTACAGGTTGGTTGATAGTGATGCCAATAGGTGATGCCCAGATTTTGGCCTTCACGCTCGAGCGGAGGTTTTAACGCTCGAGCGGGCCTCTTCATGACATGTAAGTAGGCACATTATGAGCTTGAATGCCAATTTTGATAGAGTTCTCTTCCATTATAATGGACATGGTGTACCAAAATCAACTGTTAATGGTGAAATTTGGGTATTCAATAAGGTTAGTATCTAATATGAAGCTATGATCATGTTCTTTTCTTTATCACTTCTACAGTAGTGATGTTGTTTCTTAACTGTTCCTTTTGGTAGCTTCTTCTTCTTCTTTTTGTTTTTGTTTTTGTTTTTTTAAGTCTGGAATCAATACATTTTGGTACCAATCGGTGTTAGTTGCCTACTTGGTACTCAACCATTGTCAATCTTCAACTAGACTCCGAAAAGGTATTTTACTTTGATTGTTTGTTAGATTGCACTCTCACACTCAAATTTTAGTTGGCTTTGCTGAAAGGAAAGCATTAGTTACAATAATTGAGAGGACCCATGGCGGTAATGGACCCATGGTAATCGGGTCCCCTATTGATACATTTTTAAGCTTACTCATTTTCGTTGTTATTTTTTCTCATTTGACAATGCCATTGTCTATTAAAAAGAGAAACCATTGTGTGATAGTGTATGTGTGCTATGGTAATCGGGTCCCCGATTGATACATTGTTAAGCTTACTCATTTTCGTTGTTATTTTTTCTCATTTGACAATGCCATTGTCTGTTAAAAAGAGAAACCATTGTGTGATAGTGTATGTGTGCAGACAAGTGGAGTGAGATCAACTGATGACGCTAAGCTAAGATAAGTTCTATAGTAATTTCTATTTTTGTTTCCTTTTTTTTTCAACTCTCCATTTCCAACCATACGCACTATCAATCTAATTTGTCATTACATATATAAATGAGGGATTTTAATCTCTAATTTGATCATTTTATTTCATGTGATGTTTGTTATTTCTTTATGATTTTGGGGTTCTCATGTAGAGAGTTGTACTAAATATAATATTTATGCTGCCAATTGGCAGCTTGACAATAGGACGGAGTCAGTTGCTTGAAGTTAGTTGCTTTTGTTGAGTCGATTTTTGGATTCTAGGATTTTGTCAAAGATCATTTACTCCAACTGGGTAGATCAAGTACTACTAGGAGTACATCCTCCTTATTGTTCCTTTGCTAGGAGAAAATGTAGTATCACCCGTAAATTGAGACAACTCTTCCTAAAAGCTGGTTAATGTTTTAAACTTGGTCCCTAAACATAATGATAATCTCTTTGTTCTTTGTGTTATTTATTCTAATTTTATATTTCTATTATGGTTTCAATATCTTAGTTTTCGTAGGACATAGCATTAGAACAATATTTTCTAATTAATATCAGAGATACATTTCATTTTAAGGGCTCAGATCAATCCTAATTAATATCTCACGGTTGACATCAATTTTCTTCCCGCTCAAACACTCTCTCCCTCTCCCACCTACCCATGTCTCCTTCCCCATTCCCTCTTTATCTCTCTCTCTCTCTCTATCTCTCCCTCTCTGTTACACGTCTCCTCCTATTCCCTCTTTGTCTCTCTCTCTCCCTCTCTGTTCTTCTTTCCTACCCTCCCTCTTGAGCTCAATTTCTGCCTCTCCCCCCCTTCTCTCTCAGTGGCTGCCAGTCGCAACCCTCCCACTCGCAAGGTAGGGTTTCCGATTGTGAATTGCGACACTGTGCTTTGATTGGGTCACCGAAGGCTAGGGTTTCCACCACCACAACCACCGTCATCATCATCAACTTCCTCAAATTCAACATTGACGCCGCTGTCTTCTTTTTCTCTCTCTACTTCGAACCCCCATGGGAGCTCTCTGGTACCTCTCTCCCTCTCTCTCTCTCTCTCAATGCTTCTTTATGCTTCAAGTAAATCAATGTTTGTTGGTGGAATTGAGGTAATGGTTTAAATCGATGTTTTTGTTTATCATCGTTTCTGTTTCTGGTTTATTGTTGGGTGGTTGCCTATTTTGTGGTTCATGGTTTATTGTTTGGTGGTTGCCTAATTAGAACTATGGCAGAAATTATTGGTTTATTTATTTTTATTTTTTTTAAAAAAAAATTGTCAAATGATGTTTTTATTGTGTGCAAAGGGTTTGAAGAGAACAATGAACACTGATTGTTTCTCTTTTTAATTATTTGTTTTTATTGACTGATTAATAACACATTTTGTATAATAGTTAGTATAGATTATATTCTGTGGATTGGGGCATAGATACATACAAAGAAGATTTAACACATTTTGTATAATAGTTAGTATAGAGTATATTCTGTGGATTGGGGCATAGATACATGCAAAAAAGATTTTAGATCAAGTGATGGAGCTAATTTGCTCTGGTTGAGTCATCCTCCATGTGGTCTGTTTTGTTTGCAGAAATGATCATGTAAATTTACCTTAGATTTTGTATACTCTAAGGTTTGCTAAATCACAAATTGGGCTACATAGTATATGATAATATATGAGTTATTTACACGGACATCTTTAAATTATTAGAAAATATTAATTTTATTTTGATTTTATTAGTTTCTTCTCTATGTACAGAAAAGCATTAGCTAATGCATTATTTTTGTCCATTCTCTCTCTTCGGAAAACTCTTCAACTTATATTCTCATACGCATTTTCATTTCAATAGAAATTAACTTCAAATTTTGTGGATTGGGGCATAGATACATACAAAGAAGATTTGAGATCAATTGGTGGAGCCAACTTGCTCTGGTTGAGTCATCCTCCATGTTTGTTAGTGGAATTGAGGTAATGGTTTAAATCGATGTTTTTGTTTATCATCGTTTCTGTTTCTGGTTTATTGTTTATTGTTTGGTGGTTGCCTATTTTGTGGTTCATGGTTTATTGTTTGGTGGTTGTCTAATTAGAACTATGGCAGAAATTATTGGTTTATTTATTTATTTTTAAAAAAAAAAATTTGTCAAATGATGTTTTTATTGTGTGCAAAGGGTTTAAAGAGAACAATGACAATAATCAACACTGATTGTTTCTCTTTTTGA